AGGCTCGTAGTGGCCTATATAGGGGCTATTGGACTCCATACCAATCCTCTTGCAAGACTCACAGAGATGGCTTCATCCTTAGAATGTCTGTGAGAGACTAGGGAATATCGCAAAGGAAGTAGCCCCCACTATCACGTCCGTACTTCAACGAATAGATGCTCTATCAGTATATAGACGGATACAGAAAGGTTACACTGTGGAATGAAAGAAACATATTACCTAGTCGAATATGTGGTTGAGTCCAATAGCCCTTATATAGGCCACTACGAGCCTGTCCGGACTTGCCGTTGATCCTGGTTGTTAGCAGGGAATGTAAGATATTCACTAAGTCCTATCACAGAGAATGTCTTCCGAGCCATCACAGCTCCATTATTCGACCTCTTCAGCGGTTCTTGTCCATGTGGCCAGTCACGACAACTGTGGCCAAGTTTTCCCAAAATTTCCCCGTGTTTGCGCCTTAGTGCGCCACTCGCCCAAAAAACTATATTGAGGCGCTGCTGCGGCTGGTGTGAACTCAATGAAGGTGTATTTTCCCCTTATTTGCTCGGTAGGGAAATTTTTGGGAAAACTCGCCCACCGCCGTTGTGAGTCCTTCTCAATCTTCTCGATTTCAAATCACAGAGTCCTTCGCAATGCCAAGCACATCTCTCCACAGGATTTGCTGATGCCACTTACGAGTCGTCCTCCTCTCCGCCCTCAGGTACCTCTCCAAAATGAACTCTTACCCTGCCTTTGAGCATTCCGTTGAGGAGCAGGCACATGAATGGGAGCTAGGGTATAGAGTTCAGATAAGGCCAACCCGGAGACAAGGTCAAAGGCGCCGAATTCTACAGAAATGTTGTAAAGTACATTTGGGAAAACCGGACAGATTACCATCTTGGATGAATGTAAGACATCTAGGCGTGTTGGGGAACGAACTTTTCTAGTTAGCTTTGCTACCGATGTGACGGCTGTTACGAGATACCTCCTCCTTTCTCCTTTTGAAATAATGACAGTCCATCCTCCTATGCATAAATCCCGGTAATAAGACATCGAGTTAGTGGATATATATCGATTGAGCTATCAGAATGCCACAGGATACATGGAAGAATTTCATTGAGGGCATATGAGGGAGGCCGGGAGGGGAGAGCTCGTGAGGGTCCGTAAAGGCACATGGGATCAGGCGGTAGGTAAACGATACGGTTGCTTTTATAGTTATTGAGGGGTTAGAAGGGGCTGGTAGCGACTACTTTGCCCCGAGAATAACAGAATAGGAGATACGAAATATGAAGATCTTGTTCGTGTCGTCTTTCCTTTCGCAGCAATATCAGTATGATTTTCCATACTCGAATCGATTTCATTTGGTCCCGTCCAAACCATTGAGGTTCCAATAATATATCAATCGCCTGCTCTTATCCTGTTGGGATTTCACAACTGATTGTAAAGTCTCGGAACGTGAGAAAACCCGTCGGCCAAATAATAAATCAGCAGCGCGATACTCGCCTCCGAAGCCACCTTTGAGCAGTGTTTGGCCTTGTTTGTCAGCGCACACTTGGAATATGCCCATTTTCCTATGCTACACGAACGTACCTGGATGGACCCTGCCGCGATCCGAATTTAGATATATATATAGAACATTTTGAAGAAGTTGAGCGAGTACCTCCCCCGAGATAACCAATCTAAGCAAACAACGCAACAAAAAGGATCGAATTTGTGGGTGTACCTATACTTACAATCTCAAACTACACATCCAGGCGTCGCATTTATCCATTGTTTGATTTTGGAAAACTATTTCTCCGATTCTAAAATAGAGAAAACTGCGGGGTTTTACGATTTGTTTCAAATCGTTCTTGGTCGACGAGTTTTGACATTTCTATGCCTTCCTTTGTTCCTCGCTTTTTTGAATGGAAGACTTCCTTTGTTTAGAGGTTCCTCAATTTGTAATTGTAATTGCAAGGTACACGCTGTCAAAATTGCAATAATTCAGTATGCCTAATGGCCGACTGACGTCCATACCCTCGTCTCGTCCTCATCCCTTGCTCGGGTAAACACTTTCCCAAACAAAAGTCTGAACGCGTTCTTTTATTCCCTTTATTTCTAGCTTTTGGCCCATACTGAGTCCGTTACCCTTTTACTGTTGTCGCCTTTGCCTGGTAAGTTCCATTCCATCCCTCCATTCCTCCGCCTTGCTCTCCCATCTCTTCCTCCACCCTTCCCTGTCTCCTCTTCTTATTAAATAGCATGTGAAGATACCTATCTTCCTGTTTTTGCCTCACTATATCCTCCATCTTTGCTGACCCCGTTCCCTTTTAGCTCTCTTCATCAAGTTTTCCATACCTTCTATCGCAAAGTACACTCCATTGTTTGTCTTTGTGTTTATTTCCACCTCCGCTTTGATCTCCTCTCCCTACCTCTATACATTACCTTTAATCCTCACCTTGTTTACCCTCACACTCTTGCGCTTTCTTGCCTGATGTCCATGTGCTGGAATCTCCTCCTCAATTTCTGTACTTATCTCTTTATCTCCCTTACATATAAGTTTATTAAACCCATATTTTGGGGTTCTCCCGCCCATTTGCGTGATTATGCGGTCTATCCGCCTTTTCAGTCTTCTTGGCTGCTGGGCGCTTATGCCTCCGCTTATATTTTGAACACCTATATCTTCCGCTATAACCTCATAGAAGGAATCCTGATCATTTTCATGGCAGCTATATTCCTCTATCCGGCCCTTCCTTCCTTGGCCAAATATATCCTCGGCCCCGTTTCTTGTTATATGCATTACCTTGGTATAAGCCTGTATACATGCATACATATCCGCATTTTTGGCATCAATAAACCCCTAACTCACGTATATGGAGGCAGAAAGTCGCGCAAATCCTGCCTTTCTGTGCACGATCTTCGTCCTTTTGTTAACCCTGAGCACCAGCCACTTATTTCTTCCTTTCCTGTAGGTTCCATTTTCTGTTATGTCAGATCAATGGATGAAATCACGGGCAAACATACTAATAGTAGAGGACGTGCTGAAACTATTGTCCATGCAAAAGTTCCTCTTTCTTTACTACTGCCTTCTTTAAGAGACTATCAAATAAGAGCCATATCCAAATTGTTGGATCCTTCCTTCTCCTCATTATCCCTGCATGAAATTAAATCGAACTTATTGCTACACCCCAATTCTCCTTCTTTGATACACTCTTTTCGCATATCCAGTTCTTCTGACTCTCAGATCCCTCTGCGTCAACTCGGTCCATCACCTCTTTTGGCATCGTCTCAAATGATCAACGAAAATCCCTCACTTCTTGGCTCTTCAAATACATTCCCCCCAAACCCTGTGCCATCAGACCAAAAGCTACATATTCTAAATCGTGCAATTGATGCCATTTCTGAACATTCTCTACGAGAAATTATTTGCAGTATCTGTGCCCGTCTATCTCCTAAGAGTTCGGCGTCAACTTATTCTTTGTCTGACCCATGTCTGAGTATCTTATGCCGGGATAACTCACATATCACCCGAATTGAACGACATCATGCTACTGAGCCCATTCGCCAAGTTGTTGGCCCTATTCTTCATTCTTCAGCTCATCAATCAGGCATCGTCCTTGCATGCATCGAATGCAATCATTCCCTTCTGCAGTCTCGCATCCCCAAATCTTCGCTTGCGAATGGCAACTGGATTGGTGACATTCCTTCCTGTCTCCTGGACCTCAATTTCATAGAGAAGTTACTGGTTGCAAAACATCGGCATAACGTATGTGTTGTACGTGTCTCTGAAGGTCATGGCCGATTACGTTGCAATGCTGTAGTGCAAGCTCGTCCTATTCAAAGGGTTGTCTCTCATCTTCCACCAACTCCTGATGAACTTGCTGAGGTACTTGCTATAATATTCACCGGTTCTAAAAGCCCTGATGCTTCTCTATTTGAGCGAACTCCACTCCTCATACGTCGTTCTCGTGTGAGAAGGGCATTGGAGTGGCTCATATTGAACCATGATGACTATGCTGATATATCTCTCTCTATGCAAAATCTTAATATGTATCAAGAGAACCAACCCCCTGTCTGTGTTTTGTCTAGGGTCTCCGAGCGAATCGAGCCTGTTCCTCCTGAAGCACAGGGCATCAACTTCGATCCCAATACTTACGCTGATGGGTGGAGGGGTACAGAAAGTTGTGAATTTGCCGTTAGTGGACTCACCGAAGCTGAATATGATTCCCTCTCCTATGATCTTCTCAAAGCCAAGTCAATGCAGCATCTCAAAAATGGTGGTCGTATTCTTGCTATTGGGCATGAGGAGACTCCACAATCTCTGTACCATAATCCACAACTCTTCCCTTCCCTATTTCCTTGGCTTTACCCTTATGGGAAAGGTGGCTTCAACTCACCTCTGCAACGAATCAGAATGTCTGCACAAGCACAATGCAGAGATCGTCTCTTGTATGGGGACCGTCGCTTTCAAGAAGATGAGTATTTCATGTACATTGCTTTTAACCATGAGCAAATACGCATGGCTTCTGTTCAGAACAATTTGAGTGTAAAGCGATCTAATTGGTCTAAGATTGAGAATGATCTCCTGACAGCAGATACTACCGCACTTGAGGATATGATTCAAAAGGCTCAAAAAGGCCCATTGACAGGTAAATTGTCAGACTCAGAAAAGCAATGGGTCAGAGTTTTGCGCCATATTGAAGTCGTTGCTTCTGCAGTCCATGGCTCTACAGCTTCAAAGCGCCTCATGCGGAATGAGATTCGCTCTATGCTCATGGATAGGGGCCCCCCCTTGTGGTTTATCACTATATCTCCTTGTGATTGGAAAAACCCAATCGTACTGTATCTTTCTGGTGAAAAGATTGATGTCCTAAGCACAGGGACTTGTAATTTCAGCTATCCAGACTTACAAAGACGAGTTGCTCGTAACCCTGTCGCTTGTGCCCGGTTCTTTGACTTCGCTGTTCGTCTTTTCATTGACAAGATCCTTGGATTTGAGACCGATAAGAAGGGTCTTTTTGGCCCTGTGGATTCTTATTATGGTACAGTTGAAGAACAAGGACGTCTCAGCTTACATCTTCATTTACTCTTGTGGATACAGAATACCCCTTCCTTTCAAGATATCCGGGATCGCTTGTCCGAGAGAATACAGCCTTTTACTGAAGATCTAATTGCTTATCTTTCTGATATACAGTATGGGGATTACCAAGATGCTTCCGAGTCTCAAGTGGCCGGGGAACACTCAGCTGCTCGTGTAGATTCTACTTACTCTGATCCCACTATGCAATTACCCATCCACCTCAATACCTCAGATGAGCCAATGACACTTCAAAATCTGAAAAAACAAGTGAATGAATTGATATACCTCTCGAACAGACACGAAACTCATAATTCTCGTTGTGGTGGTCAGACAGGCTCTTGCAAGGCACGCTTTCCACGCGATATTGTACCTCAGCCCACTGTTGATGAGGATGGTCGCCTTTCTTTAAAGAAACTTGAGCCTTATATAAATACATACAACCCTGGGCTCACCTATTTCTTCCGCTGCAATACCGATGTTACCTCTCTTCTAACTGGGACATCAATAAAGGCTGTATTGATATATATTACTGACTATGTCACTAAACCGTCCCTCAAGACCTACACAATTTTCGACTGCATCCTTATTGTTTATATGGGCTCTCACGATACTCTGTTTGATAACAATGACCCATCTGCCTGTCGCCGTGTAATATTGAAAATGGTCAATGCGCTCACCTCACGATATCAAACGGGTGGCCCCTTAATTGCTGCTTATATGCTGGGTAATGGTGATCACTACACCAATCGGGAGTTTCAAACATTCTATTGGAAACCATTTTCAGATTATGTAGCACAGAGACATAGTATAAATGACGATAAGACTGACTCAAATACGTCCAATGTCATAGATGAGAATTCTCTCTTGACAAACTCTTTTGGTACCATTAAACATGTCACTCTATTAGATGATTGGCGGTATCGCCCCCTCCTGTTCCAAGATTTGTGCCTCTATGAGTTTGTCCGAACGATACGTAAACGTCCTGCACAGTCCTCCAAAAGTTCTGATGCAAGTAGACGCCGCTTTCTAAGTGAACATCCACAGAATGCTTCTCATATCGCCTACAAAGTCAAAAATGTTGACTCTTGGATCATTAATTGGGTTGGGCCTCCTCTTCCCCGTCTTGGTACTGGAGATGATGAGTTCTATTACATGACCATGGTCTTATTATTCACATCTTGGCGTGAAGGCTCAGAACTTAAACTTCCTCATGAGAGTTGGCATGATCGGTTTGAACGGCAAGATTTTGATGACCGGTCACAACAATTGATGAAGAATTTTAAAGTTCTTCATGAATGTCTTGACGAGAGGGATAGTTATTCAGCACAGAATCGCAAAATGAAGGCTTCTTTTTTGCCTACGGGTCTTTTCTCTGAGGAAGCACAAACAATGCTAGACAATGCTACTTACGAAGATGGTGCCTTCAAGTTTGCAGACATTGATGATGAGGAAAATGTAGATCTTTCCTTATTCTGTACCGAGGGGCGGTTTTTCCGCCAACAATGTGCTGATGCTGATAACGCTAAACATGTCTTATTATCAAGTGGATGGAAACAAATGATCTCTGTACCTCCTGTAGAAAAGGAAATACCAGAATTCGTGAGTGGTCTCGCTCATTCCGCAACAGCGTGGGCTGCAATACTTCAAAGTCTGAAGACACAGCGTCTAACAAAAATGGACCTTGAACATGATGAACACAATGAAAGCAGTCAGGACATACCTACTCGTCACAGGACGCTACAGGATGCTATCATTGTTGATGAGAAATCAATGCCTGGCAGGCTCTCTGGACAGACGACTTCCACGGTTCTTGCTGATGTCAAGGACCCACAAACTTATATCATCAAT